ACAACTGCATGCATCCTGGCATCCATAATTACCCTGTGAGAAACAATCCAAGTTATTAGATAAAAGAGCTTTTCTGCAATAAGGATAATGAGGCAAATTCTGTTCTTGGCTAATCAAACGTAAAGAGAAATGTTGCTGTTCAACTTCCAGTTTAGTTTTTCTTTTCCAGCACATGCAACCCTCCATAATTATATATTGGCCTAAACATCGCCAAAAAAAAAACAAAAAACATCGCAAAAAGTTAAGTTCCAGAGGATGCATCCTATACCCATTTCCCTGGAAGGAAGTCTCACTGAACTCACTGAGACATATATAGGGTTATAGTGTTAGATTATCCCTCACCATTTCAAAGCAAACACAGAAACTAAGAAAGGATGGGATGTTTTTAATGCTTCCATCTTATTTTCATAATTAAAGAATTGGCATTTCCTCTATGATGGACTTTAGGCAGTAGACCAAGCTCGGCTAATTACACATTTCAATTAGTTGTAAGGGAAAGGTTGTTGGTGAAGCAGAAAGAAAAATCTCTCACATGAACTTATACACAAGCACACACACTAACCACACTCCTGAAGCTATAATATTAAGGTTTATAATTTCACAGGCTATGAAAGAATAAGTTGTCTGATAGAAATACAGCCACAATGCTGCATGGGAAATTGCAAAGAAGTAGGAAGACTTTCTGTCTACCAGTGTTGAAATAAAATTCAACTTCCAGTCCCGTTAGCTTCTGTATTAGAATGTACAGGGTTCAGGGTAACCATTTTATCCTTCACCTTAGGCAGCAAAATGTCATAAACCAACCCTGCCCATCCAAGCCTCTTTCCGAACTTTATTTCAATGACTCTCTTACCATTCTCCCATTATAAAGACATGTGACTTCAAGCATTTTCTATCTCATAGGCTAATTGGGAAAGCATGCTCAGGACAAATTTGCAGTATAGTGACAGGCTACAAGTATGTGGAAGCAATGTGAACAGGCATTATATTTATATAACCCAACACTGGCTCCCAGCCACAGAAGATGCAACAGTTATTTTCAGCCTGAGCAAATTTCACTCGCTCTTCTGCTACCGCGGACCTAGCCCAAATGTATTTGACTGTTTGGACTAAACATCCTGGGGACCATCATTAGTTCGCATGTCAAGGCACACTTTGAAGATTCAGTATGGTCTCCCACTCTCCCTTGGGTCAAATAAGCATTGAAGCCAAATTAACTGTTGAAACATACTAATCCCTAATGAACGACTTGGACTCAAGAGGCTTCCAGCAATTCAAACAGAACGCCAGCATCGCCCATTTTGCCTGAAGCCTCTAGTTTTGCTGCCATATCAACCAACATATTTCTGATGTTAAATTACAGCTTAAGTTGTCTGCACAGATTACAGCTCGTAAGAGCTGTAGCATGCATGGCAATGAACAATATGGTTACTATTTTGTAGTCCGACTGAAAAACCTCAACAGACACCGAAGCCTAATAGAGACAGCTAAGGTTCCAAGGACAGCACAGACAACTCCTTGGTTTAAACAATTTGTAATATTCATCCAATTGCGAAGCAGAGAATTAATGTATAGTTCACTGCCTTAATTATGTGAAATAAAGGGCAAAGTTTCCAAGTAAGTATCCACTGTTATTCATGACAGCCTCAATAGATTTTGGTTCTCAGCAAAAGAATACAGCACATTTTCCATAACCAAAAAAGCTGTACATAGAGCAACTTGCACAGTCAGACTATGCAAAATGAGACTGCCACCCTTTTCAGCTGCTACAAACATGGGCAACAATACACGTGAGGGGGTGCAGGAAGCAAGAACGAAGGCACTAACTCCACCCACCCAGTTGCCACTTTTATTGCCTTCCTACTCCTGGAAGGCAGCTGTGTGAAGTGGGGAGCCCTTTGTATCCATGGAGGCTCCCTGCACATTTTGGGTCCATATGTGTAATACCAGAAGAGGCCTTGCATCATACACTCCAGCAGTCCCATTTTATTTCTATTTTATTTTATGGATTTTACAAGTTCCCACTAACAGAAAATGAAAAGTGCACTAAAAATAAACGCAAAACAAAACAACACAATTTTAAGTCAATAGAAATTAAACAAATGCAAAGTAACGGGAAAGCAATCTGCAGAGACAAGAGTCTGGGAAGAGAAAAAGGATTTCTGCCCCTCTCGTAATACTAGAATCCAAGGTCATCCAATGAACTCAAACGGCAAGAGATTCAGCACAGGCTTTCAGAGGCATTTCTACATGCAGCGCATAGCTAAACTAAGGAATAAGCTACCACAAGATGTGATGGATGGCCACCAACTTTGACAACTTTAAAAGGGGATTAGACAAATTCACAGAAGATGAGGATATCAATAGGCACTAGTCATAATAGCTAAAGACTACATTCAGGATCACAAACACAATACCACTTGCTGGAGAACCACAGTGGGAAAGTGCCTTTGCATTGCCCTACTGTTTTGCATATGTCCAAAGAGACCACATGCAAACTTAGATCAATGAATAGATTTAGAACAGATAAAAAATACAAAATATCCAATTTGATTTATTTCTGGTACTTCAAGTGTGGCCCATTTGAGCCAAAAGAAATTTTCTTCCTACCCTGCATATGAGCATGATTCCTTCCACCAAGGTATCAGGAAATGCCACAATGAGAGGCTGAAATGAATGGGAGCTATGAACGAGCAACTCTAGTAGAAAAGGATATCTGGTTCTCTAATTGAGAATAATTTGGTGCTCTTGTGCAACTCCAATTGATTGGTCCTCATGAAATGCTAAGTAGCTACAGCTTCAATCTTTCATCCAGGAAATTGCACACTTGCTTGCTCACACTAAACTATGGTTTGGCTTAGCATTACGTGCAAAATAGGTGAATGAGGCTTACTCGACATACTGGTGGATCGTACCAGTTATTTTCCATCAGATGACTCAACAGCTTATTTAAAAGGTTTTATTGTGATTCACACTGTATGTTTTAACGAAATTTTATTATTAATATAAATTGTCTTGGGAAGTCTATAAGAAAGAAAGAGGGTTTAGTTTACTCACACTCAAGCTTTCACTGATTATCATATGTGGAGTCAGGAGGAGGAATCCTTTCTGGGTAAGCAACCCTGGGTTGGTTGTTGTTGTTCTGACTTTGCCCACCGGGTTGTAGATTGACTTGTTACAGAAGTAATTTCAATGAATTTTTCTGCCACATATTTGTCTGAGATACATAATATTTTGGATTGCATGAATTCATCTGTAGAGGCTTGGTACAAGGGTGATTCTGCACCGCACAGCAAAGGATAACTAGACGGCCCCTGTATGTTCATGATTCTATTTTTCATATTCCTATCAGTGTTAATACTGCCACCCCATTTTCTGTGAAGGAGAAGTAGCCATTACAGTGGTATCTCAGGTTACATACGCTTCAGGTTACAGACTCTGCTAACCCAGAAATAGTGCTTCAGGTTAAGAACTTTGCTTCAGGATGAGAACAGAAATCGTGCTCGGGTGGCGCAGCGACAGCAGGAAGTCCCATTAGCTAAAGTGGTCTTCAGGTTAAGAACAGTTTCAGGTTAAGAACGGACCTCCGGAACGAATTAAGTACTTAACCCGAGGTACCACTCTATTCTCAGCAGCAATGAATTTTTTGTACCCCCAGGCAGTAAAGAAAAGGAATCATCTCAATACTCACCACACTAGGAAACTCTAACAGGACAAAGATGCCACAATAAGATCACCTGCCTGAGGTGTGTTCTACTTCAAAAAAATATGTTTTTTCCTACAAGCACAACTAGATTTGACAAGAGACCTTGTCCTGCCCTCCTTCCCTGTAATTCAAAGTATACTTGAAAATTAATGTTAATTCTGGATAAATTAACTGCATTTTTACCAGACACTTATTTTTAGGGATAATACCTCAACAGTTAATATTATATTTTACAAAACACATTTTATTTTCATTTTAATTAGAGATCACGCTACACTTCAGCTACCTCATCTGATCTTGTCAAATTTTAAAAAGGTTTTCTCTTAATGCTCATTCTATTCATTAGAAGAAACAGTTTTTAACTGCTTTATGCAACCATATTTTAAAACGCTAGCTGTTTTTTTTTGAAAACACTACAGTTGTAGCGATGAGATTAAAAATAATGGGAGTATAGAAGATATGCAACTTTGATACATTCTCTAGTTGTTTTGTTAGCCTGTTACAACAAAAACAAGTGTATTGTAGCACCTTAACAAAGCCTCCTTTGTTGATGCACAAGCTTTCTAAGCTATTTGTAAATGAAGTATACCAATGTCTGGTGTGCATCATCAGCATTAGCTGACAAAACATGTGGCCATTGCAGCTAAAATGTGTGTGCATGTGTACAGAATGTGTGTCGATCTACTACAACAGCCACTGAGAGCCAACCTGAGGGGGAGATCAGGGGGCAGGACTTCATTGTGTGGCTCACAGACAATCTTCAGATCCTACCTGTTATATTTTAATGACTTGCCAGCTGTGTGGGAAGGACTGCAGCTCAGTAGCAGAGTTCACGTGTTGCCTACAGAAGGTCCTTGGTTCAACCTGTGGCATCTCCGGGTCAGGCAGGGACAGGCTCGCTGCCTGAAACCCTGCCGAGCCACTGCCAGTCAGTGTAGACAGCGCTGAGCTAGATGGAGCCGCTACCTACGTTCCTAAACCAACCAGGGCTGGCAGCCCTGCTCTACGACCGCGCCGAAGGAATCTCGCCTTTTATTTCCCCCTGGCATTTTTTCCCTTTCAAGTGCGAAAAGCAAAGTGCAAAGACGTTCCCTATCGGAACCCCTTTTCTCGCTGAGAAAAAGCACGACTGCAGTGTGCTCCTCCTCCTCCTCGCAGCTCCCACAAGGGCTCCGACATTATAAATGGTTGTACGCTGTACGAGGAGGACAGGTCTCCTGGGCTCTCCAGAGGGAAGGAGTTCTGTGGAGGACAAGAAACTTGCAGCCTGGGGGCTCCGCGGGTCCCCACTTACTTTTTCACTGCTTCTATAGATCCGGGAATGGGGACTCCGCCTCCTTCGCCTCCACTGTCATAAAGCACCCCGCTGATGTCTAGCACCAGCCCCTCCAAGCCCGCAAGGTGCTTCCCCCACTCCGCCATCGCCCAGAGCAGCCCGTGCAGCCTGCCCACAACCAGCGCGCACATTCTCCGCCGCCGCCGCCTCCCAAAGCCTTCCTGCCCGCCGAGGCGTCTGGGAAATGTAGTCGCCCGCCAACGCGGAGGCTGCGAACGGCGCCTCAGGGCCTGCAAGCAGTTACTGGAGGAGTGAGCGCCGCCGACTTGCTTCCGAGTAGACCGGCGTTGATCGGCGCTGCCTGGGACCATGGGGGGGGGGGGCTGGGCGTAGAATCACAGAATTCCAGAGTTGGAAAAGTTGCCACCTGTCCTGTATAATACAGGATCGACTCGTATTTCAATGTAAAATGCTTTGCCCTGTATTTCAAGGCTTCTCTGTGTGCCAGGTTAGGGATCCTCTCCAAATGCGTGTGTGTGAAAGGTGATGTACAGTATTTAAGCACTGGGTAGCAATGCACATGCAGATGTAAAATCCATGTGTATGAGGCATGTGTGTGTGACAACAAATTCCAGAGGGGCGATCCTGTTAGGCGCCAATAGATTGTAAATGGATTGCTTTGAATTCGCTTCAGCACCAGGTGAAAAATAATTTGCCCCCCCCCTGTCCTGTATTTTTGCCAGAACAAAGGTGGCAACCCTAGGATCATCTAGTCCAACCTTCTGCAATACAGGAATATGCAGCTGTCCCTTACGAGGATCAAACCTGCAACCTGCACCATGCTCTAATCCACTGAGCTAATTGGTGGGCTCATAAGTAGACTTAGTGCTGGAGACAGGTTGTGGAGAACTCTTGGCTGTGGACAGTGCCACAAGGAGGTCAAACCGATCCCACAGGGGCCGTAGCGAGCAAGAGCGAGCAGGAATGCCAGTGTAGTGCAGTGGTTATAGTGTCAGACCTGAGAGAACAGGGTTCACATCCCTCCTTGGCCACAAAGCTCACTGGGCGAGGACAGTCACAACCTCTCAGCCGAACCTACCCCACAGGGTGGTTGTGGAGATTAAATGACCATGTATGGCACCTTAAGCTTCTTGGAGAAAAAGGTGGGATAAGTGCAGTAAATAAATGCATGTGGTCTTAGGCGGTTTGCTGAAGTTAGGAGGCACACACACACACACACACACACACACTAATTCCCGTCATCCCTGACCATTGTTCATGCTGCCTACAGCTGATGGGAGTTGGCATCCAAGAATATCTGGAGGGCTGCAGCTTCTCCATCTCTGCCTTATGAGATAGAGAGGATGAGAAGAGATGAAAAGGCAGGAACAATTATGGGAAGTGTGGCTGTGGGGAATGATCCAAGAACGGGAACACAGTGAGGCTCACAGACCAGCACCACAATTTCAGGATTAACTACGGGCTCATCTCTCTGTTAGGGTATATTCCTTTCTCCGTGAAATCTCATCCTTATCTCTTCCCCTCTTCACATCTTAACCTTTGTGCCTATGTACTGCCTCTTTTGATACTGTTGGCTGATCCATTCTGATATCAAGTGTGGCCGGGTGCTTTCAAAGCCCCTCCAGCTGCCATTGACTTAACTTCTCTGATGTTTCAGATGGGCCAGTCCAATGCACACTTTTAGGTGCCATAAAAGGGCTGTCAGATCTAAATGCCAGATTTTATTAGCAACTTTTGTTAAATCAGACCTCTTCATCTTTCTTCTTAGCTGATGGGCTTTCTAATAACACTTGTTGATGCCGATTGGTTGAGTAGTCTTGGGGACTTTTGATAGAAATAGAGTAACGCTTATAATAGAACTATACAGTTGGAAGGGGTCTTGGAAATCACCCAGTGCAGAGTTCTTCAGCCTTGAGTGCCCAGAAGTTGTTGGACTTTAACTCCCATTAGCCCTAGCCAGCTTAGTCAGTGGCAATGGAAATTTTAGTGCAGCAACATCTGGAGATCCAAAAGGCTGTTCTTTTTTTCTTTTCTTTTTAAAATATTTTTATTAGGAATTTCAACAAGACATTTAATAAAAAAAAAATCAGCCTTAATTCCCCCCCCCCTATTTCCCCTCTCCCCCCCATAAAGTATGTCTTTTCCTACAATCCCTAACAAAAATGCTTCAGGTTTTTTAACAAATATTAGATGGAACATTTTCTTCAGCTCATTGTATATCATTTCCCAAAACTTTTTAATTTCATTACAATCCCACCACATATGATAAAAAGTCCCTTCCTTTTCTTTACACTTCCAACACAAAAGGCTGTTCTAATCCAGCCAAGATCTGCAGTACAGGATGCAAGTACAACATCCTTGAGAGATGGCTATCCAAATACCTCCAGCGAAGAAAATCCTCTACCACCCCCTCTGCTATCAAACAGCTCTTTTAAGGTAGCTTCTCCTAATGTTTAGCTGATGCTATCTGGGCTTTATGCTACTTCTACCCACCTGCTGCTTACAAAGGTATACTGATGGAGCATTGGGATTGGAAACCAACTTATACTGAGTCAGACCATTGGCTCATCTAGCTCAGTCAGTGTTTTCTACACTGACAAGTAGCGACTCAGGCAAAGTTTCTTAGCCCTACCTGGAGATGCTGGGGACTGAGCCTAGCACCTTTTGAATGCAAAGCATGCACTCTACTTATGATAGATGGCCCACAATAGCAACAAAAACTAACATTTTCTTTTAGCTGATTCCATGTGCAGTCAAGGCCATAGACTATAAACACTTATTTCACCAGAGTGCTTCGGTTTGTGCCCAAATAGTTTAACTGAAAAGAATATACAGTATATAAGTAACTTAAACCTTATGCAACACTGAGCCAGAATTGACCAAAAGGTCATATAATCCGATGTGGCTTCAAAATTGGACCATCTGAAAGACAAAACCACATCAACTAGGTGCAACAGCCCAATCCTATGCATATTAGTTCTGAAATAAGTTCCACTGTGTTCAATAGAGGGAGGGTTACAGCCAAAGTGAGCATGTGAGCTCTGGTCTTAATTGGGTTGTAGGTTAGCCACTCTCAGTTTATAAAGCACCAGACTGCCACCTTATACAAATACCTTAAAACCTCATTAGTTTGTTGTGGAAAGAAGTGGCCCGTTCCATGGTGTTTTATGACTATATGAGAGATTTTATCAAGTATGTTCAAACTTAGGCAATGTTGTGTGGGGTTTTTTTTACTCTCTTGATAAAGTGCAGATGCTTTTTATTGTTAACACAATCACTGGCTTGCCACAATTCAAGAATATATAAGAAACAGTGTTGGAATTATAGTCTACTTTATTTCAAGAAAAGCCAAGGAGTCTTGGAACCATTGATTTGCCTCACTGCTACGAGTCGCTTCTTCTTAAAGATAATATCTAAACTGTAAAATTCATTATATAGACCCAGAAATGGATCAGGTTATTTAAAACAACACCGCTAATGGTACAATATCTCAGCTGTCCACACTGATAGGAAACATTGTCTTGGATAGTGTTATCAGTCCTGGACACCCGTTATGAATATTGATCCGAAGCTTGTAACAGCCATCACTTGCCGTCAGGACAGGTCAGGGTTGAAACCCACCTAGCATCAAAGCAATTTAAAGACAGCACTCAGATGGAATTTTAATGTCTGCCTGTGCTGAAAAACAAACCAAATCCAGGCGCACTGTGTGTGCATGTGCGTTGGTGAACTGACAATATTTAAAGAAGCCCTTTAGCCCTAAAATTGATACTTTTAAGTTACTCTATCTGTTTCATGACTTAAAACCCAGTCAGCTAGAACAATGATTACAGTAAATTCACAATAATATATTCCACGATGGCCTATATATCAACTGACATGCTTTTTGTCTTTCAACATAAACACAGGTTTGTTAGGTTGGGGGCTATTTTGAAAGAAAAAAGAATCCAAACAACTGGGATATATTTGATTTTCAAATAGGCTCAGTAGCACACACTCATAAATAACAAGTCAGAATTGTATGAGAACATTATGAAATCAAAAGACAAATCAAATGAGCTTTATTTCCAGAGCAATTGGTTGCACCACAAAGTCCAAAGCTGTACTGAACTGTAAAAATAATGTTGTGCTGTTACACTATTTTAACGTATCTGTTTATATGATTAACCCTTTCAATAATTACACTCATTCTGAAATGTTTTGTGAAATGTTCACCAAATATGACCCAGAGCCTTATACTGTTACTTACTTCCCATATACACATGCACATATACAATATCAATATATAAATAACTTAAATTTCAACCACAGTAAAAGCACACCTACATGAATCTCTAACAGTAATTCATTTCAATGGGACCAATTGCCATGTAAGCTGCTTCTCAACATGAGTAATGGTGGCAGAATCTACCCCAGGGAGAAGACTAATATGTACTGCCAGATAAATAATGGTTTGTAAGATTATCCTCACAGACAATATTTATGTCACTGCCTGGAATCTTTTACCAGTGGATCACATTATTTTTGCCTATTTTTCACCCTGGCCAAGAAACAGAGATGTGTCTTTATTTAACTGTGTATGTCTTCTTTATTCACCTCTTTCCTTTCTCTTCAGTTATTTTCCTTTATTTCTTATTTACACCACTTAACTTCTCCTGTATTTCCAGTTTTTACTCTACCGCTAGGCAATTTCATGATATAATTATTATCATTATTTGGTAGTCCAGGTTTAAGGTAGCTTTCAAATATGTTGGCATTACTTATATTGAGCACTTGTACAACTGTGGTACAGGTACATGACATATTTGAACTTCCTCATGGTATAGAGTTTTCTTTTCCTTGTGTGTGATGATGCTGCCATGGAATGCCTCACAAAGCAAAATTGACAGATGGCTCTACTTTTCAAACATGAATTATGTCTGAGAGCAGAGCTAACTGTTTGATCCTATGCAGACTCCTTTGAGGCTGTGCCACCATTCCCTCCTCCCCACAAACGTGCTGTGGAACCAGTTGCATTTTGGAGAAAGCTGCAGGTGCAAGGGGGAAAAAACAATCACAAGGATGTGGGGACTGGTCCCCACCTGACAGGAGAGGAGATGCTCAAAGTGTGACCATCAGACATCTCTTAAAGTCATCTGAGTTGGTGGCTGACACAACAAACTCCAGTTGTATCAACTGAAGACAAGGCTATGAAGAACTCAATGGACAACAGGTTCCACAGCTGCCTGCTTGTGTCATGTGTAAAGCCGTGCCTCAATTCCACTTTGCAGAAGGTGCAACTTGAAGTTACAGTGAGGCATCATTGATGGGAAATTATTTTCACCACTGGAGGAAGCCTTTTGCATGTTTGTTTCGAATTGTATTTGCCTTGCATCTGTAATCAATAAAATTGAGTTTTCCCTTTTGTGCTCCAGATTTTTGTTCCGGATTAACATGGTTTGTACAACCCTGGAAAAGCCTTAAACTGACTCATGTCAGTGACTACTCAATTGCACTTACTAGCCTTAACCTCTAAAACTTACTCTCTAAAGCTTATTAGCCTTAACATCAATTAATTATTCCCAGGAAAGTGTGCATGGAGGTTTACACCCTCCCCTCCCAATAGAAATATATAGAAATATTTAAACCAGTCAATTGTCAAATGACAGCAACAAGGCACCCACTTCTGGGTCCCTACAACACAGACCTACAATCATTCCTTTTCCTTTGAGTACTCCACATTTCCAAGCTGCCCAGTGTAGTTTAGTGCTTTCTGAATGAAGATCAGTTATTGAAATCTTGTGGTTATGGTTTACAGCAGGAGATTTAATAGGTATGGGTACTGCAGAATATCAACCATACATGGTGGAATAGGAATGTTCATTGTAATGTTATTCTAATCAGAGGATCCCAGTTAACGCAATTCCTCTATTGGATGTTGCTTTTAGAACACAATGGCTTGGGCTTGTTTTAATACAGTGGTTTTCAACCAGTGTGCTGTGGCACATTGGGGTACCTTGAATGATGATCAGATGTGCCGCGGGCAATACTGGCCTCTGTCCCTCTTTCCTTACCCTCCCATCTCTGGTGTCCTCTCACATCTCTGCCTCCCAAAGACTTGTGTGGGTGTTTGTTGCAGCTACAAGCTCTCCAGGCGAATGGTGCCTCTGGGGCTGGCCAGGCGGTGCTTCCCAGGCCCCAGTGGGGCAGTGGGGGGCACCTCTCTTTGGGGCTCAGAGACCAGGGGTGGCAGCTGCAGCTGCCCAGGAAACTCCCAATGAGAGGGGAGAAGAGAGGAGGCAGAGGGAACACTCCACAGGCAAGGGTGTTCAAAAAAGCGCCAGAGGCTGCCAGCTCTGTAGCTAAGGGGTGACATAACTGGGCTCCTGAGCCCCACAGGGGTGCCACCAAAAGAATGTAGTTGGTCAGTGGAGCAGTGGACCCAAAAAGGCTGAAAAACTCTGTTTTAATAGATGACTATTTGCATGCGCTAAAGGTAGCAAAGATGAAAGTTCTAAGCAGCAGATGGTTTGCAAAGCTTCGTATCGCAGAGGATAACTTGGATAAATGCTGTGGCAGTAGAGGAAACAACAGGTTTTGAATGTGAAATACTAAAGGAACATTCTCATTTAAAAGGCTGATTCAAAACACCCACTGGGGATAGGAGGACTAAAACTGTAATTGGCTGATTTCCCTCTCCCTGACCTACCCTATACTAGCTAACAATATTATTGGCTAACCTATTGTCTTGGTAAAATAGTGGTGTGGGGAGGAGGGGTCATTACTCGGTGCTATTTCCAGGTGGAATTGATGCACGCCAGGCACTCCTGTCTTCCACTGCCTCCCGCAGTTTGGTCAGGCTCATGTTTGTAGCTTCGAGAACACTATCCAACCATCTCATCCTCTGTCGTCCCCTTCTCCTAGTGCCCTCCATCTTTCCCAACATCAGGGTCTTTTCCAGGGAGTCTTCTCTTCTCATGAGGTGGCCAAAGTATGGGAGCCTCAGCTTCACGATCTGTCCTTCCAGTGAGCACTCAGGTCTGATTTCCTTAAGAATGGATGCGTTTGATCTTCTTGCAGTCCATGGGACTCTCAAGAGTCTCCTCCAGCACCATAATTCAAAAGCATCAATTCTTCGGCGATCAGCCTTCTTTATGGTCCAGCTCTCACTTCCATACATCACTACTGGGAAAACCATGGCTTTAACCTATTACTCCTTGGTAAAATAGTGGTGTGGGGAGGAGGGGTCTGATAGATTTTTGAAAACTTTCTAATTTACCCTTTTAAAAATGGTGGGACATTGGTTCACATTATAAACTGCATTGAGAAGAAGGCGGGTATTACGGTATGTTCTTGAACTGCTCCTGCAGATTACTGAGTACTTTGAATTTTCTTGCTTACTTTCAAGATCTGGCAGCCAACTTAGCTTTTCAAACTAGAATGTGCATTTGTAATTACTTTATTTTGCTCCTGGGATTTCTCTCTGGCAATTTCAAAATGGGTTCTCTTTTCTATTGCAAATTGGTTTGCAAACAAGGGGGCAGACTTGTAGGTAAGGACACCATCTTCCATGTGAATTCTCATTACCAATAAAAGAGAAATAATATATGTTTCTGATTTGTACCCATAGACGAATAGGGTGGGTCCTAAACAACTCGGGTGCAAAGAGGCAAGTCTTCAACATACAGCAAAGGTGAATAATTATGATGTTAGATGCACGTCTCTGGAGATGAAATACCACCGTTTAGTGAAAAAGGTATTTAAATATACCTTCCCTAAGAAACCAGAGGCCTTTCTCTTGGGTATAGTCGGCCAGGGGATGTTAAAGAAGGATATGACTTTTTTTATGTACGCCACAACAGCAGCAAGAATACTCATTGCTAAGTACTGGAAGACACAAGATCTACCCACCTTGGAAGAATGGCAGATGAAGGTGATAGACTATATGGGACTGGCAGAGATGACGAGCAGAATCCGAAACCAGGGAAGAGAAGCAACGGAAGAAGAATGGAGAAAATTTAAGGACTATTTAAAGAAATATTGCAAAATTAATGAAGCTTAAAATGATGTTGGATTAGTGAATAAATGGTTGCTAGCGGTAATGGTTAAGATAAGGAGAAAAAATATGACCAAACTAAGTAAAAATATGGGAAGATTTGCTGAATAACTGATTAGAAATTGGAATACAGAAAGGGGAAGCATGAGGAAGTCGGGGAACCACCGTTTTAGGATATGTCATAGAGAAAGCTGATAGGATGCAAGTACCCTACTGCACAATGGTTTGTTTGTGGAGAGAAGGGAGTCTGTTCCACATTAGCAATCCAGAAGCTGGTTAGATGCTTATTCCAGTGGGAACCAATATAGTTTAGAGTAGTGCTTTGCCACTAGTTGTTCTCCAGGCAGCTGTTGTGGCCCACACCATGAGCATAGCCAGGCTTTATGTTAGGGGCAGAACCTAAGTAGGTTAAGTATTTTGTATTGATTTACTTGATTGGGGGGGGCAGCTGCCCCCCCTGCCCCCGCTTGGCTACACCCATGGCCCACACCACTCATCACTCACCAGTCACACCAGGTTGGTGAAGGCTGCTTTAGAAGAAAGTAAGTTGCTCAAGTTCCCAGGAAAGCAGGTTCCATTTCAAAGCTGCTCACTGGGTGGTACCAGACAGGCCATTCTCAGAGCCTTTGTTTTCCATCTGCAAAAGAGAAATAACAATATTCACAGTGCCAAGTACTGCAAGACTAAAGCTAATATAGATTGTAAAGCACTTGTGAAATGAAAGTGGTAGAATAATTCCAGATTATAATTTGGATGAATAGCACCTGGTTTTGTGAATGTGCTCATCATCCGAATTTTCTGCAAGTTCATGGAAATGTTTCTAACTTCTTAATCTCTGAATCTTCAAAATGTTGCTTTGTTCTTTTTTTAAAAAAACAACAACACAACTTTTATCCTTTTTAAATAAAGTGCAGGTTTGAAGGGGACCTACAGGGCAATCCTATGCACATCTACTCAGAAGTTAGTCCCACCACGTTTAAGAGGGCTCCCGGGTGTGTGACCTTACTCTCAGGCGACAGTACACAGGGTACCTATAAAAAAAGATACAGTGGTACTTCGAGTTACATATGCTTCAGGTTACATACACTTCAGGTTACAGACTCCGCTAACCCAGAAATAGTGCTTCAGGTTAAGAACTTTGCTTCAGGATGAGAACAGAAATTGTGCTCCGCCGGCGCGGCAGCAGCAGGAGGCCCCATTAGCTAAAGTGGTGCTTCAGGTTAAAAACAGTTTCAGGTTCAGAACGGACCTCGGGAACGAATTAAGTACTGTACTTAACCAGAGGTACCACTGTAGTATATTTGTGACTTCTATTCCCTTGCAACTGTGTTTTCCACAGTTGCCCACAGTGCGCTGAGAGAGTTAGACCTTACAGTAGGCCTGGGATGTCCTTCCTTTTAGAGATTTAAGATTCTGTATTGCCTGGGCATTCTTATAAAGGCACAGAATTCCAGAGACTGTAGGTTACAAAGGAATGGCAGCTCTTCCTCTTCCCGAATGAGTGCCCCTCAACAACAAAGCCTCCTGCGATCCCCTCGGAGGCTTCTGTTGTGATCTACCTCCAGGGGAAAGAAGTGAGCATCTCCCTTCTTACCCTAGTGACTCATTTATTATAGCAAACACGTTTCACTGTCACTTCATACCCTATAGGAGGGGAGGGAGCGGAAAGGCTGCAATCTCATCGATTAAGATACCATTTCCAAGGCTTGTCCTCTTCTCCACGTGTTTGGGAGGGCAGCAGTTTTATGCTTTTTTTTTTTAAACCCCAACAACCACAGAATAATAAAGGAAGCAGAGGGAAAGTGGCAGTAGTAGGTGGATTGCAACCCCTTCCTTCCAATCGCAGCCTCCTTCGCTTGTTCATCTTGGATCCTCCTCTTTCTCCTCTCCCTCCCACCCACCCCGGAGATCCCCCTTCTCTCCAGACAAACCTCTCCGAAGTCCGCGCTGGGTGCATCCGAGGGAGACCCTCCTGCCTCTTATGGACAGCCTCCCCCCGGGCTCAAGCCGCGCGTCTGCCGAGGGAAAGCGGGGCTGGCTTTTCACCTGGCCGTGCAATTGCTGCCAAGCGTGGGTCGTCGCAGATCTACCCGGGACTCGGAGCGGGGAATGCTGGACTGTCCGGAGAGTGGGGCCAAAGGAGCCCCCATCCACACGAAGATCTCCTTCTCCATCCTGGACATCCTGGATCCTCAGAAATTTACCAGGAAGAGCAACCCAGCAGCAGGGAGAAGGGAGAGCATCCCCCACGCGGGGCAGCGGGAGAAAAGTTTGGGAAGAGTTGACGTGGAAAGGCACCCGAGCAGCAGGAGGAATAAACTAGAGGCATATCATGGTAGGCGGCGCGTTCTGCTTTTATCTGATCCGCGCGGTTTGGCTGGGTTTCAGGAAAACTTCCGAGCTGGCTCATTTCTGGAAAGCAGCAAACGATGCTTCCAGGTGTCTTTCTTAGCATAACTTTCAGAGGGGGTAGTGGGGGGGGGAGAGAGAAAAGGCTTGTGTGACCCATTAAAAGTTTTAATACATTATTGCGGACTAGTGTTTTACTGGGATTCACCATCCCATGCATATAGCCCTATAGAGCTGTGGCTATTGAACCGCAGGGGAGCGTGTGAGACTATCCCAGGGTTGCTGCTGTGCTTCTTGATGGGACACCAAGCGTGGGAATGATGCGCAGCAACGGTTAACTTTTTAGTTTATGGGTCGCAAGGGGGGCTTGGCTTGAATTCAGTTTCACAGAGCGGTACTAGGCTTGGAAGGGACCCCAAGGGTCATCTAGTCCAACCCCAGTTTGTTGGCTGAGAGGGCAGAAAGGCGGCTTTTCCTTGGTAAAACTTTAACCCCCGGGGGCGGAGGCTGCTTAACATAACTTTAGAACAAACTCTTAACCCAGTACGGGGGTGGTGGGACGCGGGAGCAGCGGCCCCCGTCTGCCGTTAAGAGGTGCAGGCAAGGCGGAAATTCAACCGGTGAATCTCCTGCAGTGATGGCAAGCTGAATCTCCGCCCCCACCTGCACCTGTTAAAGACACAGGACTTGCCGTGAATTAAAATACCGATAATGTGGATGATGGATGACGAATCCCCAGCGTCTGGTGAAGGAAGTCACCTTTTGCTTTTCATTTCTGTGTACGTGTGAATCCTCCTCGCATTCAGGACAGGGTCCGCGGCCGAGCTAAATGCCTGGATTGGGGTAGCATGTGCTATTATTATGGACGAGGTGTGCTGTATCCTCACTCCCCTCTCTCACTTCCTCTCGGGGCCGCGGAAGGTCGCAGCTTCCCAGGCCCCGTGGCCCGGCTGCGTTTCCCCTTTAAGAAGCGGCGGAAGGGGACACGGCGAGCGCTGCGCGGTCCCCCTGGCGGAGTTCGCCGCGCCCCCAGCCGGGAAGCTGCAGCCCGGCGCGATTGTTTTCGGCTCAGCCTGGCCGGATGGCAGCCTGATTGGCAGAGGGACGCGCCGGGCGAAGGACAAGCGAGATAATTGTTCCTGTGGCCTCCCCCACCAGAGGATGCCTTCGCTCCCCCTTGATCGATATCCTATTACCGACTCCCGCGTATCTCCTTCCCACAGCTTGCCGGTACCAACTTCAAACCCCTCCCCCCCGTCTGATCCTAATATTGTTCGATTAAAACTTACCTTTAATAGATGACATCTATCGATCCGCCCCTTCACAAATCTGAAACTCTATTAGTGCGGCCGGGGAAAAAGAAGATGGAAAAGAACGGGAAGGAGGGCGGGGTGGGGGGTGGGCGAGAAGGTGGAGGATTTACTTCTCTTTTAAAAAAAACCAAAACCAAAAAAACTTTTCTTAACTTTCCCCCCCTTCTTAAAAATATCTGTATCTCCTGCCATAATCAGTTCTGAGATGATAATTCTGGTGGAAGGGGCTGCCTAAGAAATGACAAGTTTGGATGGGGCGGTAAAGCAGACACGCGTCATTCATTCATGACTCACGTTATGTACAACCTTGCGTGTTGTCTTATCGGTCCGTCCATTTATTTATTGCATTTATTTATTGCAATTTATCGAGTTCTTCCTCCATCCTCCTCCTGATTTAATCCCCACAACAACCCTGTGAGGTAGGTTAGATTGAGTCAGTGACTGGCCCACGGAGACCCAGTGAGCTTGGTCCCCCGCAGATCACAGTCCCTTAAACGTTGCACTGCACTGGCGCCCATCAAAGCTCTTGTCTTACTGGGTAGAAGCCCCCTTAGGTACACACCAAAAAGAGTAGTTTCCCCCACTCTCCATATCGTATTGAAAGACAGTCCCACGGCAGGTGGTGGACTCTCCTTCCTTTGAGGTCTTTAAGCAGAGGTTGGGTGGCCGTCTGTCATGATGCTTTAGTTGAGACTCCTCCATCGCAGCGGGTTGGGCTAGCCTAGATGACCCCCGAAGTCCCTTCCAACACTATGATTCTATGTAACACCTTTATTGAAACTGGAAGTTCTAGGCTCAGGCATGCCTGGAACTGAAAACAAGGTCCCTGCAGAGGAGGCATCAGAAGCCGGACGGGGAGATACCGAGAGGATCGCAGAAGGGACAAAATGAATCTCTGATGTGGGGAGGGGGACGGACCGACGTGTTTAGATCCCTGAAAGAAAAAACAAGTTAATTTTAACGCTCACATCGTAAACATGAGCTTTCGTGTGCATGCACACTTCTTCAGATACCTGAAGAAGTGTGCATGCACACGAAAGCTCATATCAAGAACTAACTTAGTTGGTCTTTAAGGTGCTACTGGAAGGAATTTTTTTTGTTTTGACTATGGGAGACCAACACGGCTACCTATCTGTAATCGTAAACATGCTTTCTCTGAAGTCCGACTGATTTCGAGGGGGTTAACTTCCAGGAAAGCATATTTAGAACCCAGATCCTCTTTTACTTGTCCATTTCTGGTTCAGTCATTGACTTGAATGTGGAAAGTAACTTTTTCAAGGGTCCAGCAACGGGGATGCGCCCTATTTGGCTATTTCCCCCTGTAGGTCCCGATGTGGGACACTGGCAACTTCTCGGGGGGAAGGCACTCTGCGTATGCTCAACGGCACTGATTAAAAAGTCAGCATTACTCGTGACTGGCCTTTTTAGGACTCTATGCGCACATATATTTTTAAGCCGCCGCGCATGTTTCCAGGGTTAAGACCCTCCGAACCGTGTGTGTGTGTGTGTGTGTATGTGTGTGTGTGTGTGTGTCCGCCAATGTGATGGAGCTGAACTGAATTTAGCGTCCGCTCCATCGGGCGGCTCACTAGGCCATGTGCGCAAGTACGCGGAGACTGCGATGCGGATCCGGGCAGAGAGAACCCGCTTCCGGGCAGGGAAGCGGCCCTTAGGCGGGTAGGGAAAGGCCCCTGGCCTCATTCTGTCCTTGTGTGTCTCCCCAGATGGCAGCAGCAGCGGAGAGAGCGAAGCGGCCGCCCTGGAGGCATCGGAGCACGAGGAGCCGGGCCCCGCGCCGCTCCCCTCGCCCGACTTCCCTCCCTCCTCGTCCTCGGACCTGGACGATCCCGGCTCGCCTCCGCCGCCGCCGTCGTCCAAGAGGCGCCGAGCGGAGCCCAGCTGCGCCAAGCCTCGCCGGGCCCGGACGGCCTTCACTTACGAGCAGCTGGTGGCTCTGGAGAACAAGTTCCGAGCCACGCGGTACCTGTCGGTGTGCGAGCGCCTCAACCTGGCCCTGTCGCTCAGCCTGACCGAGACGCAGGTCAAAATCTGGTTCCAGAACCGAAGGACCAAATGGAAGAAACAGAACTCCGGAGGCGACGGCGCGGCGCAGCCGGGGAACAGCGCATTGCCCGCCGGAGGAGATGGCAGCCCCAGTCCGCCAGGCCCCAGCAGCCTGGCCTACCAGACTTTCCCCTCGTACGCCTCGGCCAACGTCCTCTTCCCCGGGGCAGCTCCCCTTCCCCTGGCTGCAGGAGGGGGACCCTTTCCCTCCTTTTTTAGCCCCACGTACCTGGCCCCCTTTTATACCCCTCACCTATAAGAGGAACCTGTTCCCTGCAGGGTTTGCAGGTGTCCCCTGCGCGGGAGTGAAGAGCAAACCCTCTACCGAGTTGAAGCAAACCGAGGAAATCCAGTTTTGACACTCCATCTGCTGAAATGTCTGTTTTCCTAAGTGTTATTTATGAGCATGCCCTCTAATATTCCACCCTGTGATCACCATTAACTAGTTATGGGTGCTTTCCTCCCCCCCCCATTTTTGTTTGTTTGTTTTGTTTTGACTTTGGGTGGGAAAAGAGAAGGGGGTGGGAATACATCCCAATCCAAAACTTTTTTTTTAAAGCAAAACCAAAACTTCATCAGTTCCTTCAAATTTGTGGAAACCAGAGTGAGTTTCAATGCAGGAATATGGATTTATTTCAGAAATAAAGAGGGCAGCTATACAGTATTTGATATGTATAGGGCTATTTCTTTTGATTCTTCTATAGAGAATGAAAGAAGACACAAATGTGGATTTAACAGGCTGGAAGGACATCAAAGGTTCCCCCACTGTAATGTTCTCCTCCTCCCTCTAGTTTCTATCTGGTGCCCTGTGATGCACTGAGCCACTGTAATTCAGTTCCCACCCTTGTTAAATTGGCTAGATGCTGGACCAGTCCACAGTATGCACGCTAAGGTATGCATACTATAGCGTACCCATGCTGCATGATCCTGTCTGAACATTACATTCACTCCTAGGCAGAAATACAGGATGTGTGTAACAGTGGAATATGCAAAATGTAGATTGGAAATGAAGGCAGTATTTTAATAAAATGTGCACTGGACTACATACAATTTTGTATTTAAAAGCAAATGTTCCTGCTTGGTGGTAGGTCCGGAGCCACCAGAGGGCGGTATAAACCAAATGTGGGGTTCAAGTAACCAGTGGGTTAATGTTAATCAGTGCAACCCACTGCATGTTTACAAGTCCAGTCCCACTGTCCAAGGGACTGCACTCCCAGATGATTGGGCATAAATGTGCTGCGGTAGACTAAAACCTCAACCAAAGTAGAGATCCCATTCTAGTTTAATGATCTGAAAAGGTTTTGTTCATGTACAAGAACAGGTATTGTGGTTTTTTTTGTTTTGGTTCTAAATATAGACTTCACGCGTAAAAATAGCACCTCGTACGAAAGGTGCTATAAGTACACTGTAAGATACTGTAGGCGTTTTACTACCTTTTGTGTAGAAAGAGAGCGATCACCACTACAATAAACACTGGCTGCAGATCTTTAAACAACTCACACCTCCTTTCATGCTAGTGCCTTATTGCTACCATCCTGCTGACCAACCAAGGCAGGCAACGGTTACATTAAAGAATAGTACCATATCCTGAAATTCAACATGTCTCTAACCCAGAAACTGCAGATTGCACTCACTTGGCATACAGGATAAGGCAGGCATCACAAGTGTGGCCCATAGGTACAATGGTGCTCTTAAGAGTGCTCAACAAATCCTCTGAGTCTCTCTCTCATTCAATGTCCCCTTGGTCATGAGGTGCTAAATTATGGTTGCCTTTTTATCCCTTGAAAAGTACATGGAGCTGAAGGAGGAAGTGTTGCTCCTTGCCACTTCCTCTTTCAGCTCTATGTACTTTTCAAGGCTTAGATTAATTCCACTGTAGGTGGCCAAAGCAGGTGATGCTCATGGCACTTGCTGAGAAATGTGCCCACAGGATTAAAAAGTTGGCAGCTCCTGGAAGAAGGCAAGACGTAGATCTTGTAGAATGTAAGGACACCTCCTGTTTGACCCTATAACAAAGACAAAAAAAGTTGATTTGGGTTTCTGGAAGAATATGCATTTAAGCCATTTCCCAATGAAACTTATCTGCAGAATTTTGTTTTTAGGGTCCAACTTTTTCACTTCTGAAGACCATGCTCATCTTAGCCCTTTCTGGTACAGTACTCAGTTCAAGTTTTTGCCTAGGAGGATGGTTAAAAACACACCCATATATATATCTTACATTGTCCACATTCTTTTTAGGGTAATACAGTTTTTTTTTTTTGTTGGATGGACAATTCTCTTAGCCCCATACTTGGATTGTTTCTCCCTTTTTAAAAAAGTGGGGGGAAGACTTAATTAAAAAAAATGTATATGTCTACTCAAAAATCCTCCTGGGTTCAATGGGGTTTACTCCCAAGTGAGGGGATGGGCTAGGATTGCAGTCTTAACAAAAGCACTCTTCGGGTATTATGTAGTTGTGTTAATTATACACAGGAGCACAGCAGCAAGAAGTACCTGTGCCCCCACCATTCCAGTTGAAGTGGGGATGCTCCTGTATTTGTGGAAGCTCCCAATGCATTTTAGAACTCTGGAAAAATGGTTTTGCAATCCTGTGCACCCTTACCTGGCAAGTAAGGCCCACTGAGCACAGTGGGGGTTAGCTCTTGAGTAGATATGCATAAGCTTGGACTATAAAAGAATTAACTATGAATCAGCAAGTCCAAATCTTGCCTCTGCCATCATGAACACATTAAATGACTCCAGGCAAGCCACTCTCATAAGAGCATAATAAGGACCTGCTGGATTAGGCCAATGGCCCATCTAGTCCAGCATTCTGTTCTCACAGTGGCCAACCAGTTGCCTACTGGAAGCTCGCAAGCAGGATCTGAGTGCAAAAGCACTTCCCCCTCCTGTGATCTCCAGCTACTAGTGCTCAGATGCATACTGCCTCCAACAGCATGGCAGAGCATAGCCACCGTGGCTAGTGGTGAGCGGACTCAGGCTCAATTTCCCCCTCCTTCAGTCCACTTTGCAACATTTTAGATAATACTGCGGGCTTCCTTACAGGATTGTTGTAAGGATTATAACGAAGTAAACACATGTGAAAGACTTTGAACACTGAAAAATGTTATACAAATGTTTATTATCACACACATTGGTGTGTGTGTGTGGGGGGGGAGGTAAACATTGGTCCCAAAAGGCTATGAAAGTAAGAGGTCCAGTGCACATTGCGAATTCTCTGCAAAAGTCAAATGTTCGCAGCATAGATCACTCCCTGTTCTTAACTTGTATCAACTTGGGCTTTCCATAGATGTGCCACAGCAGTTCTACGCTGAATATCCTGGCTTCGCTGTTTCCATCCCCCACTTTCTGTATCCGTGCTTGTATATTTATTTGCCAACAGAGAATATAACACTCTGCGCACCTGATGAAGCGCTCATCAATTTGTGAAAGCTTAAGCCACCACAAATCTGTTCGTCTTTAAAGTGTCAGAAGATACGATGCTTTTGCTGCAGCGGAAAATATTACCTCCCTTTTGGCACTTGAAATTTAATCCTTACTCCTCAGAGCCTTCAAAGAAATAACCCCTATGCCCTCTAGTGGGAAGTCCAATGGATGCACTTATTCCTGAAATGGAGAGAGGACCAATAAAAGATTCTTTGATTAACATTATTATTTTTTAACCTCGTGAAGTGTGTTAGTGAAACATATCATGATCTACCCAGGCCAGTGCAGGGAAGTTCATAACAGAGATCTGAGTGTCCATTTCAGAGTTGCAAACAATACTCCAGGCGAATGGTGCCTCTGGGGCTGGCCAGGGGGTGCTGGTTGCCAGGAGCTGAGGCAGCCTCGGAGTAAGCAAGCGAGTGGCAGAGGGAGCCCAGCCAGCCAGTCCCATCAGCCCCTACTGTTGGGAATGGATGGACCAGCAGGAGGCCAGGCAGGCAAGCAGCATGCTGACCTTTCTTCTGCTTGCTGTGTGCAATGCCTATCTGGGAGCTGAGTGCCCGGCACCAAAGGGGAGCCTTGCCATGCAGGCCCGGCAGCACCCGCTGCTGCCACTCAATGTGAGTGAGATGCTGGCTTCATGTTCACCTTTGACTAGTCTCCGTCAGGCCGCTAAGGCTGGGGGCATCCTCTTCCCAGCCCCCTGAAGGGCAGCGTGAGGAGGTACCTCTCTTTGGGGCAGTAGCAGCGGCTGCCCAGAGGATTCCCAAGGATAGGGAGTGAAGGCTGAGGGAACACTCCACAAGGGTGGGTGTTCAAAAAACGGGCGAGAGGCTGCCGGTTCTGCAGGCAAGGGGTGACATAACTGGGCTTCTGAGGCTTGGAGTGCATTTCCCCACAGGGGAGCCGCAGAAAGGATGTAGTTGGTCAAGGGAGCCATGGACTCAAAAAGGCTGAAAACCTCTGCTCTACATTAAAGGTATGCTTCCTACCCAACTTCTTATTTCCTTTTCGCCGAATACGAATTAGGTACATGATTAAACTTTAGAAACAGTAGCCACTGTTTGCTTTATCTTCCACAACAAATGATTAAATAATCCTGGGCATGAGAGTCCGCAACAGGGTAAGTTTCAACAGGTAAGGGAGGTGAGAATGGTGGTTTGGTTATTCCCCATTTTCTAGGAACAGAAAAATCTGTCCAATTTGATTTCTCTCTGTTTATCATTTTTCAGATCTTAAGTTCTGTTCTCCATATTTTCACATCAGTTTGCAAAGTCCTCATGAAAATTCACCAGCATTTTTCAATTGTATATGTGCACAGGCAGCCAGCTGGGGCTGGAATTTCCAAGGAAGAAGAAAGACTCAAACTCAACCTGCTCTGATTTTTCTTTTCAATAGAAAAGTGCATTGTATATCAAACTAATGATTAAATAAATAAATAAATATTCATAGTCTTTAGTGGAAATGTATCATAGTATATGCATTTTTGAATGCAATTTCACCTAATGTCCACTTTTTTTTTGCCAAACAATTTCTCCTGATGAAATGCAATTTTAAAGGTTCTTTTCACTGATGTATGCATTTTTCTGCATGCTTTATTAAAGTGTATGCATTTTTGGTCCATGTTACTTGGTGGGAGAACCGCACTGCAACATTTGGTGGAGTGTGAATTCTGAATAATGGCTATGCTTTGGGTCGCCAATTGATTTGGGAAGTGCATATTAGCTATGTTTGCCTTTAAATGCAAACTGCATTGAATTTCTCCCCCAATGCAACTGCTTAAAAAGGGTTTCAAAGCTCCTTTTTTTTTTTTTTTTGCATGTGTGTAACTGAGGTGAGTATGGGCACCTGGTGCAGTCCTTACTAGAAACTAATGGTGGTGTGATACTTTTTCTTTTTTTCTTTTGTTTATCTGGGTTTTTAAAATCTTGGTTATGAACTTTAAAAATATGCATTTCTTCCCAAGTAGCTATTATAATTATTGGATCTCTCTCTCCAAAGACAATGTATCTCATCTTGCCCAGCAAATCCAGGATTGTGAGTGGCAATTCACTTTTTATGTTCCTAAGTTTCTATGTCATTGATTTTGTTTTAATTTAAATTTGATTCTTTTTCTATGTAATTTATTAACATGTGATTTGATTTACATTTAGATAAATTAAATGCAATTTCTTTAAATGTAATTTAATTCCTTTAATGTTTGGATAATCCGATTTGACAATTTCTTTACATTAATTTCAATTTAATTTAATTTCTTAAGCTGATTTAAATTAAAACCCAGATTTTTCTTACTCCTAATCATGCCTCACTTGATGAGTAAGTTGGAAAAGCAGAAGAACACATCTGCAGCAACTAGCAGGTGTATCCAGAATAATATTGTTGCCCTCCACCCAGTCTCCAAGCGGTGTGAAAGACCAGGGGTTCCAGGCACTAACCCAGAGTTCATGTTTCCTTTGGAATGAAGGACAGCAGGAACTGTGGTGTCTTTATGATATATGGTTTATTTACACATACAGTACACAACTTGAACCTACAATGGAGGGGTTCCTAGCATTAATACCCCAAGAGGGTCTTGCTCCTCCCGTAGCCACAGCCTTGGATTGAAACAGAAATCAGACATAACTCTGTCACCCAGCCTGCAGCCTTGCTTCCAGCTTCTAGCTTACACACACTGGTCCTTCTTTGCGCTTTCTTACTTTGTACTCCTTCAAATCTTTCTTTTTCATTTTTTTTTAAAAAGTGGGTGCAGTGTGCATACCCCAAGCACATGATTTCAAGAATGGTGAAAGACTGAATGATAACTTAGTATCCAAGATATTGCATATCATTCATTGCTCTATTCGGCTGGAGCAGTTCCAGCCTGGATGATGATATGCTGCTTTCTGTTTGTTTTAGCAGATAAGATAAGATACTTAGCTATATAACAACAGGCTAAAGGTCAGAGTTTAGATAACACCACAAGTCCAATCCCTCAGTTCGAATTACAGAAGCAACTTCCCGTTGATGTCAGACTGGATCTGGCTGTTGAGAGATTTTGCAACAACTGATTAATTGCTTTCATACAAAACATGCACAATTTCTTTTCTTTTTTAAAAAAACAGTTTTCTAATACATGGTTGCATGTTGCCAAGAGGGCTGAAGAGTCAAAGAACAGAAGGGACCAAGAGTTATTGGGGTGCCCATAATTACATGGAAATGACTCCCAATAATTTGAATGGGATGTCTTAAACACAACCATGCAGTTGTTCCCAGGTGAATGGCTGGATTCAGAAATATTTCCCCAAGGTAGCACTTCTGGGTGGCAGAATTACATCTTCCCAGCACACTGTGCTATATATACAATGTAGTTGTATATGGCACCTATTGGATACATCCCATGATATCACCAGTGAACAACACAACTCTTCACCCTGTTTGTGGTGTTCTGTGGAGTTTTTAAAAGGTTTTCATAAATTGTTTAAAAATGTTCAACCTCTTATGGCACAACAGAAGGGTGGTAGGACATCTTGTGCATGTTTTCTCTTTTCCATATTTTCTCAGAGGTACGCTCAAAATGGATTTTTATCAACAACTGGTTCTTTTTGTGAATGGCCACTGTTAAGAAGGAAAATTATCGCCCTCTGTACTTTTCTGTATTTTGTTTCCTTCTGACATCACTGTTTACAATACCCCTCCCACTTTAACCATGTACAGTGGTACCTTGGGTTACAGACGCTTTAGGTTACAGACTTCGCTAACCCAGAAATAGTACCTCGGGTTAAGAACTTTGCTTCAGGATGAGAACAAAAATTGCGTAGTGGTGGTGCAGCGGCAGCGGGAGGCCCCATTAGCTAAAGTGGTACCTCAGGTTAAGAACAGTTTCAGGTTAAGAACGGACCTCCAGAACAAATTAAGTCCTTAACTCAAGGTACCACTGTACCTGCAACTCAGGAGTGCATTGTAGTCCACAATAGTGTATGCTATAATAAATGTGCTAGACTTTAAGGTGTCACAAGTCTCTTTGCAGTTTTTTTTTTGCTGGAACACAGTTACCCTTCTGTAAAATTACCTTAGTAGAACTTAACCTATTCATAGGCCTTTAAGAAAAGTATCAAAAATCCAGCAAGGCTTCTCTTCTCTTCCTGCCTTTGGAGCAGGTTTTTCCCCCCATTTTATAATCATTTTTCTTTTATCTCGTTCTTTCTAATTTATTGATTTCCAGTGCTAGAAAATATTATACACCCACACCCACACAACTGCTGTGAGTATGGCCGTTTACATTTGCTACAGTTGGAACAGATTAAGAAAGAGAACTCAGTTGTCCTAATGGAGTGATTTGACCCTGCTGAAAAGGGAGAAAGCAGCTGGCTCAGGACTGGGGGAACTTTGCCCCCTCCAGATGTTGCTGGACCACAACTCCCATCATCCCTACTCATTGGAGTTCAACAACAGCTGCAGAGCCAATGGTTCCACAGCCCTGAGCAGGACCAAGAGGTTAACTTCCCTAACACTGCAATTCATATCTGTTTACCTGAGAATACACCCAATTGAACTCAATCAAAAGGCACGTCTAAGATTGTGCTGTTCATCTGGCTCAGTGTAAAGTCTCGTAATCTATTATATTCTCACAGGAAGGTGAACTGAGGATTTCTCACACATCACAAAGGTTCTTAGACGTATTTTTGTCGGGCTGGAGGTGGAGTGATTTATTTATCAGCAGAACTCACATGTGTTACCTCATGGCCATGGAGCACTGCCAGGTTGGCAGAAACCAAGGAACCAGGTGCCAAGAAGCCAAGTAAGGTCAAGGCTGGAAGAAAAGGCACAGAGATGGAAAAAGGTAAAGAGAGGAAACAGCGAAATGGAAATAGATAATGAAAAAAGATGGAGGATGGAAGAGATCCACCTTGGGATTGTATGATGAATTGTAGGTTAAAAATACATAGGAATAATATAATGAATTATATGAGGAGAGGGAAATGATGGCAAGAAGAGGAGGATTTATAAGTGAAAAGAAGAAAGATTTATACTATTTTTACTGGCATTTGCTTTGTAAGTACCACCATGGCTTGCCCTTCCAGCTTCACCTCACTGCTAAGTGGAATAGTGTTTTCTTATATCTGTTCTGGTTTCTAACATGACCAATTGCAGAATAAAATAGTAAGATAGTAAAACAGATCAAGTACTTTGTGTGTATTAGATATATGTGTGTGTGTGGTATTTTTTTAAGAGAAAACATATTAGGCTGACAACTTTTATTAATGTGTATTGCTGATATTTATTCATTAGTAGATGTTGATAATCTTTCTATATAGAGGAAAACAGTGTTCCAATAATGCCTGGAAAAAAGTTAGTGATGATCTGCAAAAGGTCAAGCTGTGCTTTAGCCAAATTTATGCATTTCTTTGTACATATTACTTGTCTGGAGAAATGCATTGCAAAAGTCAGAGAAGTGTGAATTTCTAAGGATGGCTCTCTTTCAATTGGCATATTGTTTTGAAAACTGCAAATTTCGTAGGTTTGCCTTTAAATGCATGTTGTCCGATTCATAATTAACCAATTGAATGGTGACAGAGCAGGGTGGTGTGGAAGGAAACACTGCTCAAAACACTTCACTCCCTTTCCAGACACACCAGATGCTCTTTCGAGGTCAGTGGCAGGCAGGTTAAGTACAGAAGATCCCTCATTAACTGGACCAAAGTTCTTTCTCATCCTGCTCCCTGCTTGCCAGTGTTCAGCCATGTGAATCTTGGAAGCACAGAAGCAAGTTGGCACGAGAGCAGCAGCCCTTATTTCTTAACAGTGGTGGTTCCTCTTCATTGGTACTTGTAGGGTACAAGGGAGACCAATACAGTGGTACCTCAGGTTACAGACGCTTCAGGTTACAGACGCTTCATGTTACAGACTCTGCTAACCCAGAAATAGTACCTTGGGTTAAGAACTTTGCTTCAGGATGAGAACAGAAATCGCGCAGCAGCGCGGTGGCAGCAGCGGGAGACCTCATTAGCTAAAGTGGTACCTCAGGTTAAGAACAGTTTCAGGTTAAGAACGGACCTCCAGAACGAATTAAGTTCTTAACCCGAGGTACCACTGTAGTTGGCAGAGCCAGAGCCACCTAAATTCTAGTTCTGTCCCCATTCTCCTATTCACACCTCTGCTTCTTATCTGTCCCCACCAGCTGGTATTCCTATCATCTTTCTTTAGCCTTGGATTTAGCTACCCATTCTCTATGAATGTATCTCTGGATCAGCTTTTTTTTATTTTAAAAAAGATGAGATTGGAGTTGAAGTGCAGAAATAGGAACGTGTGGCAAAACCCTGTCATTGTTCCTAGAGAAAAGCAGCCTCAGAGGAACAGGAAACGGGAAGGGTGTTGAACGCTTATTCCGTTCATTGATTTTGCATTTCAACTCCTTCTTTTCTATGGTTTCTTTCAAATTTGAGGAACTTTCCCCTTCTTCTTTTAAACGCAGGTGCCCAAGAAAATCTGGATCTAAAAATAACTACCTACCATTGGAGGAATAAGTGCTGAACATACAGGGCCTTATTTATCTAAAATATGTCTAAATAAAGACATAGACAAAAATTAATATCCTCAGCATGTGATGGACTCTCCTTCCTTGGAGGTTTTTAAGCAGAGTTTGGATGGCCATCTATCACCGATGCTTTAGGTAGGCTTGATCATTAATCTGTATCGGAGAGGCAAGAAGGAAGGAGGCAGCGAGGCGCCCAGGAGGGACCCAAAGAATCCTACGCGCAAACCCTGATTGGTGGAGAGCGGCGCTAGGAATGCACCGAAGAGGATCAATGAGCGGCAGAGGTGGGGACAAGCAGGCAGCTAATAGCGAGCGAGCTCTTCCGGGGGAGGCGCCTTCGCCGCGCCGTGATTGGGCGCGGCGTGCAGGGGAGGCCAATGGGGCGCCCCGGCGCCGGCGCGTCTTGCCAGGGGGGGCTTGTGACGTGGCCGGTCTTTTGAGCTGTGACAGGCGGCCGAGGAAGCCGCGCTTGCCCTTTCTTGCCGGAGCGGAGGAGAGTCGCCTCGGGAAGGTAGCGCGGCGAGGGGAGGGAGGCCCGGTGGGTGTGGGGAGGAGTCGGCCGGCCGGCCGCCTGCTTGTTCCCTCAGGGAGACCCCCTTCCGCGGCTGCTGCACCCCGTCATGCCCGTGAGGATGGGGAACGGGCGGCGGCGGCTGTCGGGCTGGAGCGAGGCCCTGGCCATGCAGCGCTTTCCCTCCTATGGCCGTCCTTTTGCTCTCTTCCCCTTTTACTGCTTTGTCGTCCGTCCCCTCCCACGAGCCTCCCCAACATAATTTGGATCCTCAGCCCTGCTGGAGACCCGTGGGCTGCTCTGGAGCATGTAACGGGACGCTGTGTGTCTGAGCATGCACAGAGTGTATGTATGTTTGCCCGACCGGCTTCAACTGACGTGCGCAAACCCTGGCTTCTTCCTGCGCTTTAGCCCCAGATTGTCTTTACTTAGAAATGTATGCACAGCACCCTTCAGCCTGCGGTGGGTACGTGAAGCCTTATCACATCCTCTGCCTTTTCAAAATGTGCATGTCGGAGGGTGTGCGCGCGCAATTGGTTTGTTTTATGATGTATTCCGTGTTCCAAGTTTAATAAGTCTCCATCATTCATCTCTCGTTCTTAGAGAGCCTTGATGGCCCTCTTCACTTCTTCCATTTTTGCAGAGCCGTAAAACCCTGCTGGTACAAGATCTCAGCTAAAGGAGGCCCCTGGCTTTTTCTGGTTTCCTTGAGAGTAAATAAAGTGGGTAGCAAAGGAAATATATGCACACTCACCCAGGCATTAGTCCCATGGGGCTTGCTTCTGAGTAGACATGTATAGGAGTGCACTGTTAGTAGTTTTCTGGCACAAGTACAACGGAAACTTGAGGTGGAATAGACTACAGCTTTTAAGAGCAAACTGGTCTAGAAGAGGCATATGAAGATCCCTGTAGGTTCAGGCCAAAGGCCAATCTGATCCAACATGCTTCTCTCACAAAGACCAACTAGATGTCTATGGGATGTTGTCAAGCAGGGTGTGAGCATACTCATGCTGTCCAGCAACTGGTATTCAGAGGCATAATGCATCCAACACCAGAAGTAGTACACAACTATCATTGTTAACCTTATCCTCCATGATTTGGTTTAAACTGCTTTTAAAGAGACACATCTTTTCCAACTCCACAAGGTTCCTTTTGAGGCATGGCAATCAAAACTGTGCAGAGTTCCTGTTTTGTTCTTCCCACCATTACTACCCATGTAATAAACCCTATATGGGGAACATTGGGCCTTCCAGATGTTGCTAGACTGCCAACTGCCACCAACTGCAGCCAGCACAGTCAATGCTAAGGGATAATTGGAGTTGTAGTCCAGCAACATCTGGAGGACTGCAAGTTCTCCATCTCTCTCATAAACACTTTTTTTTTGTCCTACTAGTGTTTTGTCAAACAGGCTTCTGTGGGTTTTTAAACCAACATGAAGCATGCAAAACCTGTTTCAGAAGGCAAAAGTGGGATGGGTATATATGCCTCAAGCAAGTGTCTCTTGTTTACTGATGCTAGTTCTCTGAAGAAATATCGTATTTCTAGCCTGACTATTCTCAGTTCCACTGGGCAGGTGTCCTTTCCTTGCTAAGATGCTCCCCCCGCCCCGGATTTTTGGACACCCGAAAACCCCATGTGCGTCACTATCCTTGTTTCCACTATTTGCAAGTAGTGATGTATCTGTAAATATTTGGCAGTGAGATGAATCTGGTAACTAGGCTGTAAAGCTAAAAGGATTAAATAAGAAAATGGACCTGAGAAAGCACCAGTTTGGATGGATTTACTTCTCATTCAAAATGCCTTTATAATCAGCAGATTCAGAACATTCTTCCAAAATCATTACAGTACAAGTAAAAATGTATATACGAACAGAAAATATAAAATCTGAGTATTCTCAAAACGGATTACTGGCTCATCTTTTGTGTGCTGTTGCCTTATGAGAAGAGTTTCAAAGGCAACTCGTCACACTTGCCAAGGTTAGGAAGTGACAGTAAGTATCATAGCAGTTGCAGTTAGATTCATAGTATTTTAATAAACCATAAATTTGCCTCTTTCTAAAACCAGCATTTATTTCTTGTATATGCTAATTAAGCAAGCTAGCTTTTTCTCCCTGTGAGGGGTGTGTAGTGGGCCAGGCCTGTATAGTCCTATCATTGAGAAGTTCATCCTGTTGCAAGCTTTAAGTGATGCAATTTTAAATCTGGGTCCTATCCAAATCTTATGTAGTGCAATACTTGCTATTTTGGGGGTGTGTGTGAAATTTCTAAATGTCACATTGGAACTCCATTAACATGTTTTGTCAATATTAACAGAAGTAGCTATTGACTCTTCCTGTACAACATGGTCATCTGTCATGGATGCTTTAGCTGAGATTCCTGCATTGCAGGGGGTTGGACTAGATGACCCTTGGATCCCTTCCAGCTCTTATGATTCTATGAATTAGAAAAGCTATGTGTCATCTTTGTATGCTGGAATGGTAGGATACTAACAGTTCAGTTCTATGTATGTTTGCTTGGAAACAAGTCTTTCAATGTTCAATGGGCCTTATTCCCTTGCAAGTACATTAAAGAATCAAGCTTTTGTAGGCTGCACTCCTAGAAATGTGTTTTACTTTCCCGCTCCACTGTGAGGGATGCTGCTTAAACAGCTTATAAAAATTGAGTATAAGCATCTGGTAAAGTCACTTTTTTTTAGGATGGGGGAAGAGTTAAGATATATTTTTTTAGCTTTTCTTTTCCTTGGCCAATATATTCTGTTTCATGTTTAATATGACAAGCAGTTATTAATCAGCACACACACAATGGCATAGGATTACCTGTCTTTTGAATGAACCATCTAGTAATGGTTGAGCAGAGGTCTTTATGTGTATGGTTTTGCTTAGTTCTTCAAACGCTTGCATAAACCATTTTTAAAAAACCACAACAACAATCCCCTTTGGTCTTATGAACCGAATGATACTGAAAGGTAAAAGTAGGTCTTATTTATATTGAAGATTAGTCTGTCTGCTGTCAGTGTTGCAATGCTCTGGTGACAAGGGTTGTATTGTAACTCAGATTAATTGTTCTTTAAAAGCTCCACAGGGGAACATTTGCAGTAGAGTTCAGCAGCCTGGAAAAACATTTCTAATCCCTGCATCAGGACTTTAAGAATCAAAGCAACTAGGCACTTGGGATTATTATTTTTTTGTTAAGTTCTCATGGTGTTTTATCTGCTGCTAAGTGACCAACTGTGAAAAACATTTGATAATTGAAAATGCTATAGAAAATCCTCTAGCACATCATCTTACATGTTGGTTTTCAAGATGCAGGGCCTATGCAATAGTTCTTTCATGACTCAGAGCTTGGGACATAGTGATGAGAACTGGCAATACTGGTCTTCAAGCTGTAGGTCAGATATGGGGAACCTCAGCTCTAGGAGCTTGAGGCCTCTCTGTCCAGCTCTCAGGACTCTCCACAAGGCACATACCTCCCGGGCCCTTCTCTGCACCCTCTTTGAGTGTTGCTTGGCTGGAATATGTTCTTGAATTGCAATAATGTAGGTTGGTGTATGCGTGTCGATATAAGCCTCCAACTCTTGTGTGGTCGACACCTATTGCTCCTCCCACTTTTGCCTCTGGCCCTGCGCACCAGTGGCATGTGGCCCTCAGAATATTGGCCAAGAAGGAATGGACTGAGAAAGGCTCCCTGCCCTTGCTATAAGCTGAGCACAAATCTGGATGTTGACTGTGAGATATCCAAAGGTAACTTAAGCATACCAAAGCTTTTAACTGACAGGCTTGGTGTGATGCAACTTTCCATGACTCTTCCTGGCGTGAACTCACACCTAATGGGGAAGGCATGTACCTTAGCAAGAGTATGTTTCGTTGTGTGTTGCATATAAGACAGACTCTTGGGTTGGGAACTTGGGTTTGGGTCTACCGTGTTGTCCCATGTTTTCTAGCTTAGCTGTGCAAAGTCTGTGTCTACCTCATGAAGATCATATCAGCTGTTCTGTGGAGAATTTTTAATAGTGCACTAGGATCTAGGTTTCTGTGTTGAAATGCTTTGTCTATGTAAGAAGGCCCGCTCAAAATCCTGCATGTAATCACAACTATTTGTATAGGTTTTGTTTGCAGTGTGGTGTTGAAGCGAACGTCCCCTTGAGTTTCATGATTCTGACCCAATTCCCTATGTGCCATTTTTTCTTTTTTCAGACCTTCAGCGCACTGTAACCATGTTTTCTAAACTGGCCCATCGGCAGCCGTTCGGCGTTCTCTGTCGAGGCGTTCATGCTTCAGTGAGTTCAGCTACGTCAGTTGCAACTAAGAAAACAGTCCAAGGCCCGCCATCATCCGACTACATATTTGAGCGTGAGGCCAAGTATGGTGCACATAACTACCACCCGCTCCCTGTTGCTCTTGAAAAAGGAAAAGGTATGTACTTTTAATCTTTCCAATAGGTTCCTAGGCAAGGGATGGAAGCTTAACTCAGCCATTCACTTTAATGCTTTCCAGTGGCAAGGATCATTTGTATCATCACTGCAACAATGATGCTTCTTTGGGAAAGGAAATGTGGGATACTCTGGCTGCTGTGTATGTGCAATCTCAGCTGTTTTCCTGACTGTGTTAACTCAGAAGAAGGAAAACACTGTTACTACTATCTTCCTGGGGAAGATAGTTTCTCTCCCCCCTCCTTTTCTTATGGGTCGGCCTCTCCTAAACAGTTTCAAGAAGATTCCAAGGAGAGAGAGGAAGTTGGCATTTGTCAGGGTGTGGGGAGGCATATAATGGTTCTTAATGTAGGAAGGGATGCGGGTGGCGCTGTGGTCTAAACCACAGAGCCTAGGGCTTGCCGATTGGAAGGTCGGCAGTTCAAGTCCCCGCGATGGGGTGAGCTCCTGTTGTTTGGTCCCAGCTCCCGCTCACCTAGCAGTTCAAAAGCACATCAAAGTGCAAGTAGATAAATAGGTACAACTCCGGCAGGAAGGTAAGCGGCGTTTCTGTGCACTGCTCTGGTTCGCCAGAAGCGGCTTAGTCATGCCGGCCACATGACCCGGAAGCTGTCTGTGGACAAACGCCGGCTCCCTCGGCCTATAGAGCAAGATGAACGTGCAACTCCAGAGTCGTCCACAACTGGACCTAATGGTCAGGGGTACCTTTCCCTTTGTATTTAATGTAGGGGCAGTCATTTGTATAGTCTAGTTCCACAGTTCTCCTATGGTGGTTTGGTGATTAAGTTAAAAGTAACTTCCTCTTAGCCAGCATTGTGCAATATGCAGATGTGAGAACTATCCTAGTTGTCTGAACAGGACAGAAGCATGTTGAATTCAAAAGATAGGCAGCAGCAGGCATAGCCTTGTGTACATGGTTTGCCGGTCTTTCATTCCCTGATGATGCATAGGGTAAGTATTTTGCAAAGAGTTGTGAGAAGCAGCCTGCAGCTGTCACTGGCTGAATTAATCTGTGCCTGCTCCTCTATTTCTGGCTCACTGAGCGCTGCTTGGCATTTGAGACCAACTCAGGAGAGGTGGCATAATTGCCTTTAAACTAGGGGCGGGGAATCATGTCTGACTCTTGGCCATGCTGTCTAGGGATGCTGGGAGTTGGTGTCCAGTAATGTCAGGGGACGCAGGTGGCGCTGTGGGTAAAACCTCAGTGCCTAAGGGCTTGCCGATTGCATGGTCGGCGGTTCAAATCTCCGCGGCGGGGTGAGCTCCCGTCTTTCGGTCCCAGCTCCTGCCCACCTAGCAGTTCGAAAGCACCCTTAAGTGCAAGTAGATAAATAGGTACCGCTTTATAGCGGGAAAGTAAACGGCGTTTCTGTGTGCTGCGCTGGTGCTGTCTCGCCAGAGCAGCTTCGTCACGCTGGCCACGTGACCCGGAAGTGTCTCTGGACAGCGCTGGCCCCCGGCCTCTTAAGTGAGATGGGCGCACAACCCCAGAGTCGGACACGACTGGCCCGTATGGGCAGGGGTACCTTTACCTTTACCTTTACATGTCTGGAGAACGGCAGGTTCCCTGACCTGCTTTAAAACCTAGGATGCTTGAGAGTTCTGAGCATAAAAATGTCACACTATATATATATATATATATATATATATATATATATATATATATATATATATTTTATACATACATTATACAGTTATCATCACTTATCATTTATTCATTGACTTCCCCACACATCCCTCCATGGGTTCTTGTTTAAGCTTTGCTGTGCTGCATCTCCTTAGTTACCACCCCTCTTCTAGTTATTTTTAGCTGCTGCTCATATATCTAGCCCTACTTGGAAATTTATCTGGTTGTTATATTTCTTTAAGTATTCACCACATTTCCATTTAGTTGTATAAAAAAACAGCAGATCATACTGCATTCAGTGTGGTGTGTATTGTTATAAAACTTACTGCTCTTTTATATTGCCTTTATTTTCTGCAGTTCTTTGGTTTATGTTGCCTTCAGTTCTGGGCGCAATGGTTAGCATTTGAAATTTTAAAACTTGCCTTAATGTAAACCAGGGATCTGGTGGCCAAGGTCTTTCTCTCCCTCTAATGACGTCAGGTGATCAATAGGGGGTAGTGGTGGCCCAGCCCATCTGTCAAATGTGGTCTGCTGGGATAGAGGGAGATAGTGACTTCAGAGCATCATACATGCCTTGCAGAGAGCCCTGTTCAGTGCTTGGAAGCCTCTGAAAAGCAGGCTTGAACTCAGTGGATGGGAGGTAAGTTCGAACCTGCTTTCTGCAGGGATCAGCTGTGCCTACTGGTTCTCCACAGGAAGCTCACTTGTGTACCTAAATCAGCTTGCCCTTACCTGCCCCAGCCACACTGATGGGGCAGGTGTGAGGCAGCTGAGAATGGCTTGGGGTGAAGTGGCCTAGCAGGCCAAATGGGGAGGCCTGGAGCACCACATCTGGCCCACGGACTGCAGCTTTCACACCCCTAATCTAAATAATTCTAATGTCTATCTTTGGTAGCGCTCTGTTAGCATTCTTTATTTTTGGCGTCTCTCCAGTGCATATATCACTAGACTATCCTGACCTTAGGGCACCAACTGTTTAGCATACTTACCACCTGATCTACAAGGTTGCTGAACTTTTATTACTTTTGACAAGCTTCACCAAATCAAGGGAATGTCTATTTAGCCTAATTAGAAGCGCAAATGGTCTCAAAGTCTGTTTCCTTGCTACTATGTAACCTCATAATGCAAGATTAAAGCTTGTAGTAAAACAAGCGTTTGGAAACTGTTTTCAGGTCAACACTTTTACCAGTTTGCATTTGCAAATTAGCAGCTTCTTAGGTTAGTATTATCTTCCTGAACATGTGTTTGGTAGCTGGCTAAGTGTAGCAAAGTACAAAGTATACCTCATGCTTCCATGAGGAGAAGCAGGCAGTTTTATTGTCTTGGCATCTGGCAGCCTGCCTTGGCATAGCACTTGTGGCAGATGGGTGCAGGCATGGAGTCTCGCTCTCACCCAGGAAGTTTGAAAATAAAACAGCCTTTCCTTAGTTTTATACTGTTGGCCTACAAAGAGATTTTGTGCTCAAATGCATATTACCTGATCTACCTTAGAAGGTGCATGCTGAACAGTGTGGGTGAAAAATCAGCATGACACAAATGATGGTAATTTTGGAAGCTAGCTATTCATTCTTGTTTTTATGAAGCTGTGCCTGGTAAACACATTTGATATCTATATGAAATGGCTACAAGTCTTTAATAGCTAAAGTCAGCATGAGCAGATTGCCCTAGGCTGTGCCAAAAATGTAACCTCTGGCTTGTGCTAGCAGGACTACCTTGGGGAAAATGCAGCACCAGACAGCCCATTTTCAAGGGAAGAGAATGAAGTTTATCCCTACCCCCGCATTGCACAGCTAATACTTTTGTATTTTCAGGTGTCAATCTTTTCTCAGTACTACTACAGCGCTTGAGACAAAATCACTTAGCCAGTGATCTTACAGTCACAGAAAATGCATAGGTAACTGTGCCAAAAAGTACGTATAGGAAGTTGAGAAATGTGAATTCTGTACTTTGTGTCATTCCTGTTCAGTTTTGCTAAAGCAGCCATTCCGTTTATATAGTATATACTGAAGTGCTGCTTTTTTATTTAGCCAAATATTATACGATGCTTTTTAGCAGTTGAATGACTTAATCTGTTGCATCATTCACCCTGTGCCTCAATTCTAAAAACAATAAATGATCAACATTATTTTTTTGTTTTATATGTCACCAGAGGTTTGTGTGTGTGATATATCATTTGATAATATTCTCCTAATATTGTACCTCTGCTTGTTTACCCTCCCCCCAGGTGTTTATGTGTGGGATGTAGAAGGCAGAAAATACTTCGATTTCTTAAGTGCTTACAGTGCTGTCAATCAAGGCCATTGTCACCCAAAGATTGTAGCTGCTCTGAAAGCCCAGTGTGACAAACTTACCCTTACCTCAAGAGCGTTTTACAACGATGTACTTGGCGAATATGAAGAGTATATCACAAAAATGTTCAAATACAACAAAGTGCTTCCAATGAACACAGGTAAGGCTTTCTGCTCTGTCTTCCAAAAAAGCATGTGAACGGACAGCTTTTGTCACCTAAATGGGAAGCTAGAGAGAACAGTTGTGGATCCCTGAAATTTGGGTTTGCTTCCTGTGTGTTTGGAAATCTGTTGCACACAAAGTGCTGTGTCTCCAACCTTTTTCAGCTCAAGGATGTATTCAGAATTTCGAGCAAGTACAATGGGGGGGGGGCAGGGCGGGAAGGCTGCTGTGGGGCCATGCTCTTGCTGCTGCTATAGGAGGTCGTTTAGCTTAAGTCAATGTTTCTTTCTCTCTTACTTTGCAATGACACTCCCAAAGTATAAACATGGATCCAAGGCACGTGCAGAGTTCCAGCAGAACTCAGCTTCTTGATAACATCACACTGCTTTTAGCTGTCCCTTCCCACACTTCCAGGGCCCTAGGCTCTTACCCTGCATGGCATACTTCCGTTATAGTCCACCATGTGGCTTCTGATAGTAATGAGTTCTCCTTCTCTTCCTACCCCTCTCCTGCTTCCACCTTTTGTGCTCTCTTATTTTAGGAGTGGAGGCTGGAGAAACAGCGTGTAAACTGGCTCGCAAGTGGGCATATACAGTGAAAGGAATTCCCAAATACAAGGCAAAGATACTTTTCGCAGGTATGTCAGAGTTTTAAATATCAGAAGAACTCGTTGCAGGTGGGCATAACAAAGGTATTGGAGACTTTGGATTATGAAATCATGCATGTAGGAATAGCTTTGTATTAAAAATGGAGTTTCTGTGTCTTTTACTTAAACCTGTTATAAAGTAGTAGGGAATCTTTTGCAGCCTCATTTTGCATTCCTTCCCAAGCCACATGCTTGCAATGGGTGGGGCCAGAGGCAAAAAGTGAACAAAGCAAGGGATGTGACTTACCTGTGTAAAGTAAGCTACATTTCAGTGGCAGCTGCACTTTATGAGGGAGAGGAAAAGGGCCATTGAGGGGCATGGTCAGGGAAGAGAAAATGTGTTCTGGGAAAGTCCCAAGAGTTGGGTGGAAAGACCAGAGAAGCCACTTTTGGTTTCTGGACCTGAAGTTCCCACCTCTGTTAAATGGTTTGTTGCTTGTAATGAATTCATCACTTTACTAAGTTAAAATAATGTGCAAAGTTGTGCCCTCATCACCTTCCGATTTATCAAATCCTATATTGTCTCTGGTGCCGTAAAGAACCGAAACCTAAGTAAGAAGAGATTAATCTTTCTTTTCATGGGTGAAAGCGGGGTGGGAATATGGTGCTGACAAATTAGGGCTACAGTCATAAACAACATTTATTAGGGAGCGAATCCTGTTCAGTTTGGAGGGTCTTGCTGTTGAGGCAGTGTGCTTAGGCTTGTGAAATGTATTGGTCAACTGAAATCTCATGCAATTGGTGTTCTGGGCTCTGTTAAGACAGCATGCTGTAACCATTCATCCTGGACAAGCATGTTGGGTAAAAGACTCTGTTTTGTTATAACTTTGGGAAGTTGCAACTCTTTGGCACTTGCATACATGGCAAACATACAAGGTGAACAATGATTAAACGACCTGTATTTTGCTATGCATTTTCAACAGAATCAATTCTCATAACATTAAATGCTGTTTAAAATCCAGAGTTGGGCAAAGGAGGTTTTAATACCTGTGCCATGTTGGGTGGGATGATGGGAGTTGTAGTTCAGCAACATCTAGAGGACCGCAGGTTACCCATCCTTGATCTAAACACAACTGTGATGCATCTCTAGCATCTCTACCTTTTAGAAAGATGTGGTGTCTTTCGACATCTTCAGATTGTTGAGTTGACTAGGCTGCATAACGTAACTGAAACATTATATATTTTGTTCATTCTTTCCCCCCACCCCTCCTCCCAGCTGGCAACTTCTGGGGAAGAACGATGTCTGCTGTCTCAAGTTCTACAGATCCTTCCAGTTATGATGGGTTTGGACCATTTATGCCAGGGTTTGAAATAATTCCATACAATGACTTGCCAGCTCTTGAGGTGTGTTGCAATCTTCCATTCTGTATTATAAATCTTGTTCTGCCTCTCTCCATAACGGCATTCAGTAACTGTCTTTCTTCATTGCAATATGCTTGTCCTTAGCGTGCACTTCAAGATCCAAATGTAGCAGCTTTCATGGTGGAACCAATTCAAGGGGAAGCTGGTGTCGTTGTTCCTGATAAAGGTTACCTCACAGGTGTGCGAGAGCTTTGCACAAAGCATAATGTAAGTAAGTCACTGTGCTAAGAACACAACATTCAAGCTGTGGAAAGTGGCCAAGTCTTTTAACTAATACAACAGGCCTTGTTTAGACCAAAGATAACAATCGTGTAATGCTGTTATATGTTTCAAAAAACATTTTTTTTTTTACACTGCTGGTTAACACAATCTAATATTTAGTTGCTTGAATCTTCCAAAGGTCTAGTACTAAGTGGTATAGCTATTTTATTATAAAGAAATCAGTGTTTTTCTCACCAATGATGTCGGTTTTGACCTGGTAAAACACTTTCCCCCCAAAGTGAGCTATTGCTCAACTCTACTATTTTATCAGTTCTGTGCCTATCTTAAGTAGACGACAAGGTTATTGTAATATACTTTGTGTACCTTTAAATGGACTTTATCCCACTCCTGGGCAACTCATAAATTGTCTTTGCTTTTCAGTCTGATAGGGCTGTTTCCATAGAACATTTTGGTTTATCTTGGGGTACAGCAGTGGCAAATTTCACCCTGTGGAATGATTATAATGACCTTCCTGCTTCCAAACATATACATCATTTGGACTTTGCCACATAATAGATCAGACAGAGTAAATGTAGATTAGGAATGGGGTCAAGAAAGCCATATTGCAAGATCTTCATTTGGAGCTTGGCTTTGGAGAATCTTATCTTTTAAAGGAGAACAAAACAAACTAAATGCTCATTGAATGACAATTCATCAAGTCCCTCTCTGTGCAAGTCTAAAGGGGCTCTCTGGATTGAAGCTATTTTCTTTTATGCTTTCCAGTGCATGATGAGACTCTGATAATACTATGCAAGTGATATTCAGGCCTCTCATATGAAAAGTTCTAAAGGGGCTGTTAAGTGAAATGCTGTTAAGCATTCTTGGCTTGTGAAATTTTACTACCAAAAAGAATCTTGTGGGCACAAATGTAGCCTAGAATTTTTAAAGTTATGCGATCTAGATGTGGTGTGATATAGCAGTATGCTGAGCAGAGGTTAAACATTGGAGCTAGTTGTTTAATTATACCAGTTTCTGTAGTTTGGACGAGAGTTGCTAGGGATGTTTGGGGTGAACGTTCCTTGTCAAGGAAATACTTCTTGAATATGTGCTCCTTTTAAAATAAAACAGGTTCTCTTTATCGCTGATGAAATTCAGACTGGGTTGGCAAGGACTGGGAAAATGCTGGCTGTCGATCATGAAAATGTTAGACCAGATATGATCCTGCTCGGAAAGGCCCTGTCTGGAGGTGTTTATCCCGTAAGTAATATTGAATGAGAAACAGCTGGTTCTGAACTTCTTTTTTGGAGATTTCAACAGGTTTAAGATACAAAACTGGCTTAATGAATGGGTCATTGATGAAGTGGAGTCAGTCAGGACTATCTTCCAGAATTCATGTTCTTACAATATGACAGTGGTCAGCAAATGGGGACATAGGAAGCTTCCTTATATTGAGTTAGACTATTGATCCATCTAGCTCAGTACTGACTACACTGAATGGCAGTGACCACCCAGGGTTTCAGAAGGGGTTTTTTCTTAGTCCTTTCTGGAGATGCCAGGGACTGAACCTGTTGGTGTAATGCAGATTGCATGCTGACCAATTCAATTGTGGTCCTGCAGCTCTGAATTTCCAAGGTCAGACCTGTAACAACCTAGAAGTACTGAGCTGGGGTACTGTACAGTGGTACCCCGCAAGACGAACGCCTCGCAAGACGGAAAACCCGCTAGACGAAAGGTTTTTCCGTTTTGGAGACGCTTCGCAAAACGAATTTCCCTATGGGCTTCCTTCGCAAGACGAAAGCCCATAGGGAAATCTCCGGGACAAGGCGTCTTGCCCACTGTCATCGGACCTCCTCCCGCCGCCAGGCTTCGCAAGGCTGCTCTGAAGCTTGGCGGGGGCGGAGAGGTTTTTTAAAAACCCCGGGACAGCGGAGGACTTCTCTGCTGTCCGGGGCGATTTTAAAATGCTGCTGGGCGGCCAGCGCTGACGCCCGGCAGCATTTAAAAAAACCCCGGGACAGCGGG